AAAATAGTGCCATGTTGCATACATACCAAAAGAATCGACTTTTCTTGAAAACTTAATATTTCGAGAACAGTGCATTCGTTTTGGCTTAAACTTTCAGGCTAATATAGGGCCACAAGATCTAGATGTGGGCAAAATTTCAGATCGAAACTCCTTAATTTGATTTTTCGGTGAATATCGTATCATAGGTGATAAACCCAGTAAAATGACCATAACTCGAGAAGAAAGGCCCATGGGCCCTTGTCCTTTTGGACTATTTCTAGTCTCATTGGATTCTACTTATCGGCAAAATATCGACTCAAAAGCTTTGAATCACTTCGGGCGGTTCCCTCGTTAGTGTCATTTGGGCACGACAAGTGGTAGTATTTGTTTGAATAAAGGATAAATAAAATCTTAGCAATCGCCCTATGGAATGTACTGAGTAAAAGACATCCGAAAAAGTACTCTGCTACTATATTCTGATGTAAAAAATATTCAGTAAATGCTTACCCAAAAGTACTGCTCAGATAATCAGTTCGATAGTAGCATGAAGTACTCCTAGACACCCTGCTTGAAAAAATGGCTATATTCGAGATTGAACCTTTCTTCACAGTGTTTTTTTTTCATATTGCACTTTTCTACTTCAATACTTCTTAAAATGTAAACTAGACGATTTATATTCTTTTTTTTTCAATTCAATCATACCAGTAATTTTTTGTTTTTTCTAATGTAGTAAAGTGAAATTAATGATATGACAAAATACTTGAAGTGAGAACTTTTAGGTATCAGAGTGAGCACATTAGATGAAAAAAAATTAATTTATATCTAAAAATTAAAAAACAGAATCATAAAGAAGTTCATTTCATTATTGCATGCATCGTTAATATTACTTTTGACAATGCTTATGAAAAAAAACGATATATCTAAAAATCAAAAGAAGTTTCATGATACGAATTTTCAAAAACAAACCCATACACGAAAGTGGAAAACACATAAAGAAGAAAAACATGAATGTTACATCTGAAATAGTTATCTCTTTTTTTAATTTTACTATTTTTTTCTGTTGAAACAGCTGCCATTAGAGAAAAGTATCAATGTAAATGAAAGAGTGATACATTACTTTGTTTACTTTCAAACTATAAATATACTAATTCGTATTAACGAGCTCTTAAATTTTTATCCCTATCTAACGCAACAATTCAAAAAATTCAAAGAATTGACTTCGTGTCTGCCTGTCAATAAATGACGATCACTTTCTTCCAAAAGAAAATTACAAGTGCATTAATGTGTTTTCTTTTATATAGTACGTTAGACAAATAAAACAGAGAAGTAGGGTAATCGGTTGAAGTTTCTTTAGTGAATTTATCTATGTTAGTATCCTAGTGAAGGTACTCATCAAGAGAGTACTCGAAAAGTACTCACGCTAGAAAATGCCGCGAGAACTCATGAGTACTCGTGGGTTTCGAGTACTCATCAGTAGTACTGTTGCTAGAATCTGAGTATATGAGTACGACTTTGAGTACTCGCCTTGCAAAATTTCGTGTTTTTGGAGTACTCTTCATACATTGTATGAGTACTCTAGTGGGATTTTTGTAAAATACTCATAGAACCCTACTTGATCAGTATTGTTTTATTATATTTGTGGTATTTTATTAAACAGTTTTCAATGAAGGAATACTGTGGTCTATGAAAATCTATCAAATGAAAATATTATTTTACGGTTTTGTATTTTATATACAATAGTGACAACGACCTTTTGTCTTCAGACAAACATAGTGCATAATAACAAGTGTTGAATAAAATAGAACATCATAAAAAGAAATCGATTTTTTAAATTATCCACGAATTTGAAAAACACACATAAGATAACAAGTAAGTGTATATTAAAGTTTATTACGAAGAAAATAAATTAATATTTTGAAACACATAGCTAAACTTATGCTTTAGTAATATACAAAAAAATTAGTAAAAATAAATTTACTGTCAGTAATAGCACACGTGAACCTTCACAATATTCAACTTCGATTTTTTTTTATCAAAAGTCTTTAACTATCATTTATATAATTAATTTTCCATATCATTACGAAATTTTGTTTAATAATTTGAAAAAATTTAGGAATTCAAATTGCACGAATATTTGTTTATATATTTATTCACATATAACTAATCTTACTTAAGAAATGAACAGCTTAAAATGAAAAGTCCTTTTTCTGTTCGTTGAACAACCATTCATTAAAATGGTAAAAATGAGTCATCGGTTAAAAACGGAATATATTATAGGCGAATCGCAAAAACAATTCTTTTCCATTTTTAATTTGATTTCATCATTTTTCTTTTGTACACAACTTTGTTTTATTTTCTGCCTGCAAGTGCATTAGTGTTTCGCCTTATAGGTTTCTAAAAACAGCGATGAGTACTACAGTGAGAACTCATCAGTTCGTCTACGAGTAAATCTTAGAGAAACAACTCGTACAAGTACTATCTCGAGTACTCGAAAATTTTAATCACACACGAAATTCCTTGAGTACTCTGACAAGTAGTTCGAGTACTCATGCTGGCAAGTCGTACTCGCTTGACGAGTACTTTCACTAGGGATACTCGTACAAGTACCCGCTCAGTAATCATACTAGTATGGGTACTTGAGAAGGTACCTAACTCAGTATGACTACTAAGAGTTTTCAAAGTACACAGATCGAACTCCTTGTTGTGGCCTTTCCAGCACATGGGTACCCTGAATTCAGTAATTACTCCAGGTAAAAATGCCAAAACTATATATCACATATGCATAGTCTTTATGGTAAAGTCTCGAAGAATATTTTTTTCAAGTGTCACGGAATGTCTTGTTCGTTAAGTCTACCAATAATTTAAATACAATCCATTTATCAGCAATGCGTCTGGGGATAGTTATGAGTGTTTTGCACTGACCTCTATCCACAGAATGGATTGACTTGTTATTTCTATATATATATTTTTTTTTTCTTTCCTTATCACTCTTGATAACTAACTGCGTGTACACGCGCAACATCAGCGTAAGCATTGGCATAGTATAAGTGTAAAAAGAGAATAACGAAGTAGCAGCAGGATTAATATATTTCAAAAACAGTAGGAGTACCTTAGTTTCATTATGTCCAGTGACATTCGTCCAGTCGATAATTACTGTCGATCATATTGGATGTCTAATCCTGACAAACTTGCAAATTATCGTTCGACAGATGATCTACCACAACATTCTGATATAGTCATTATTGGATCCGGATACAGTGGTTCAGCATGTGCCTATTATCTTTATAAATATGGGCAGTCACTAAAGAAACCATTGATGATAACCATGGTTGAAGCTCGTGAAACATGCTCAGGAGCAACAGGACGCAATGGTGGACATCTGAAACCGGATGTGTATTATTCCTATAAACGATACTCGGAAAAATATGGCCGTCAAATGGCGGAGACATTGATGGAATTCGAAGCGAAACATATTCAGGCAATGTCAGCACTCGTATTGGAAGAGAATATTCAATGTGATTGGGAGGTTACACGAGCTTGTGATGCATATATGAATCCTGAACTAGCTGCAAAAGCTAAAGCTTCGTTTCAGCAGCGTTGTGCTGATGGTGGTAATGTCCATGACATTTATGAAGTACCTTCGGATGATCTTCTCGCTATGACTCGAGTGAAAAATGTTGTCTATGGCATCACATTCACAGGTGCTAGTATTCATCCATATAAACTGATTCACCATCTTCTCAATAAATCCATCGAACAAGGAATGAATTTGCAAACAAACACGCCTGTGCTTACCGCAATTCGACTACCGTCTGGTCAGTGGTCGATAGTGACTCCAAGAGGTACAATATATGCATCTAAAGTTATCTTTGCTATGAATGCATACACGGCTGGAGTTCTTCCATTATTTAATAACAAGATCGTGCCCATTCGTGGCACCATATGTCGAATTCTTCCATCAGTTAAGTTTCAACAATCGCCTCTAAAAATGACCTATTCAATACGTTTAAAAGAAAATCAATTTGATTACATGATCCCTCGTCAAACGGGTGATCGATCTATCATTCTTGGTGGAGCAAAACCTGCACATATCTCGGAAATGAAAATTTGGTACAATAATTGGGATGACAGTATCGAATATAACAATGACGAAAGTAAGAAATATTTCGAAGAGTATATGCCCAAACATTTTGACGCATGGGGAACCGATGATGGAGGATGCCAACAATTCTGGACTGGTATAATTGGCTATTCATCTGACTTGTTGCCATTCGTTGGACAATTACCTGATCTACCAAATGGATATGTTATCGCCGGATTTCATGGGCTAGGTATGCCACGCATTTTACTTTGTGCTCGAGCGTTGGCTGACATCGTACTGGAAAGAACAACCAACATTGAAGAGCTTCTTCCTGAACCGTATGTAGTCACTAAGAGTCGATTAGAAACCAAATAAAATTGCATTCTGATACATTTGGGTGCACGTTTAGGACTAACAGAAATAGAGGAATGCGTTGCTTGATGTTTTCTTTATTCATTTTTCGGTATTGAATGAACGATATTACTACGATTGAATAAAATTACTAATTAGACTTAGAAACATAAATCACAATAAATCTATGCTATATCAAGAACATTCACTTTGATGGAGCAAGTGAAAAGTCATGCCGTCCCTCCCGACTTACGTGTTGTTCAGAAGCTATAGAGTTTCAAAAAGTTTCACGTTTTTGTCTGTTGAAGTCATTCTGCCAAAAATTCCCAACTGCAGGATGTGAAGTGTACATACGAGTGTCCCAGAATGTTTACAACATCACTAGTATTTTGCACATCACAACACAGACAACATAAAAGAATCTGGAGTTTTCCTTTAGGAGATGTGATGCCGAATTCTCCACAAATTTCGTTCTGTCTTTGGTAACAATACAATTGATTATGTTTATAGATCGCGCAATGACATTCCGCGAAATCCGTCTAGTTCCCACACATTGCTCTTGGTAATTTATTCTTCTCATATGAACGATTATTTAGTTTCGAAAATAGAAATCACTGCTACATAGCTCTCGAAAGCCACTGCTAATTGTGCGTATATGCAAACTTCTCTTTTGTTCATTCTGGCGATTCAAGAGTGTTTCCCACAGAGTCATTTTTACGGATGCGAAATTTTCCCGCTTTTTAGGTGTCGATGTGAGTTGTCGATGTGAATGTTGGTGTTGGCCACTCTAAGTTATGAGACGACCAATACACACAAGCACTCCCACTCACATCCACACCACCCCTCACAGACTATTTTTATCGTATGTAACTCTTAAGTTATGGACGCTACAAGGGGGTCAAAATCCTGGCTTTGGTCCCACCTACCTAGTGAAAATAGAGCGCCCGTGCATGAGCGATCAATGTAGATATCCACACCCTCAATCACGCCCTCCGCGTGTGGCCTCGAATATCCTTACAAGAGAAAGAAAACGAACAAAGTAAAAGCGAATTTATAGAAAAAGAAATTTATGGAGCGAAAATTTAATTACAATTTCTTTTTCATAAGTTCAATCATTTGTTTGCAGTTTTCAATGGTAGGATGTGTCCGCGGATGCGACTTCTCATAGATACCGAGCGCTTTCTCGAAATAAGAAAGTGCTTTCGAGTACTCGCCCATGTTCATGTGCACAAATGCGATCGTAGCATAGGCAATAGCCAAGCTCAGATGGTCTGGAGGAAGTGTTCTTTGATAGATAGCAAGTGCTTTTTCGTAAAACGGAAGCGCTTTCGAGTATTCGCACATACCATCATGCAACGATCCAATTTCTTCGTACGAAATACTTAAGTCCATATGGTTCTCAGGGAGAGTTCTTTGACGTATATCAAGTGATTTTTCGTAAAACGAAAGCGCTTTCGAATGGTCGTCCATGTTATTATACACTGAACCAATTAGGCCGTACAAAGCAGAGAAGTCGGGATGGTCCGCAGGGAGAGTTATTTGACGTATATCAAGTGCTTTTCCGTAAAACGAAAGTGCTTTCGAGTACTGACGCATTTTATCATACACTAATCCGATGTTACTGTACGAACTGGCCAAGACGGGATGGTTCACAGGGAGAGTTCTTTGGCGTATATCAAGTGCTTTTTCGTAAAACAAAAGTGCTTTCGAGTATTCGCCCATGTTATAATAGACCGATCCGATGTTGTTGTGCAAAGTAGCCAAGTCGGGATGGTTTGCCGGGAGAGTTCTTTGGAAGATGTCAAGTGCTTTCTCGTAAGACGAAAGTGCTTGCGAGTATTGTCTCATGTTATCATAAACCGCACCGATGTTGTGGTACGAACTGGCTAAGTGCTCATCGTTCTCCGGAAGAGTTCTTTGTCGTATATCAAGTGCTTTTTCGTAAAACAAAAGTGCTCTCGAATACTCGCCCGTCTTAGAATACACCCCACCGATATTGCTGTAAGAACTGGTCAAGGCAGGATGGTTCGTAGGAAGAATTCTTTGCCAGATATCAAGTGCTTTTTGATAAAACGGTAGTGATTTCGAGTATTCGTCCATGGCACAATATACCCAACCGAGTTGATTATTGTATAGAGCTATATTGCTATCATCAGACGGTGACTCAAGTAATAATTGATAAAGTTGCTCCGCTTTTTCAAATTCACCTACTTTAACGAGTAATCTGGCTAGTCGATCCCATGGTTCTGTGCCCTCGATTTCTTCGCGGAAGCTTGTAGCAAGCGTGTCTAGTTGATTGTCATTGCTGTCTGATAGTGTGAGATTTACTTGCCAGAGTCGTCCAGTATTGTCGGTCTCGATCGGCGCGATTTGATCAACACGAAAAATCGTATGTGTAGAAAAGAGAACCTCTTTTTCTGTTTGCTTGTAGTAGCTAATGTTGTCAAGTTGAGCGAAAGGAGTTGATGCACATCGAGTTGGATCAATGGTCATCACAAAGAGGATTCCAACCTTTTCAGCATTAGGAAGAGCATCTCTCGCGAATTCCAAGGAGATCTTTTTGTCTTCACTTGTTGATAAGAAATTGTTAAATGAGACCAATCCTTTTTCCGTTTTCTTAAGTTTCTCAAAATCGGCTAAAGACAATCCTTGTCCTCGGTAGAGTTTCAATGGTGTTTCTTTCGTCTGATATTGCTCCTGGTGCACTTCTTCAATATGTTGTTGAAGGTGACGAATGAAAAATCCCATGACAAGAATTATATCTACGTCGAACTCGCGTAGCGCACGATTTAGCATTGAATAGATAAAATAAGGTGTGGTGTACCACCAAATGGGCGTGTGATGATGATATTCTTTTTCGAACTTGATAATTTCTGATTCAAGTATATCTTTTTGACGGCCACAGTAAGCAACGAATTTTTGGATGGATTTTTCGTCGTCGTCATCTTTCATTTGCAAGAATGCTTCTTTGAAGAGTTGAGTATACATAAACGATGGATCGATGCCATCAAAACTTATCGGAATAGTATCTCGATCACACCGTTCTCGGTCTTGTCGTAGTGCATCACAAATAGGTTCTATTCGAGTATGAACGCCTTTCACTTTTGACCATTCTTTTGCCCATTGTTGATGAAATGACTTGGTAGTGCAAAATATGTAGATGGAATCCAGTTGTGACCTATCATGAATAATTGGTACGATTTGTCTACCAAGTGCACCGGAAACAATCATGAAGACTTTTTCTCTTTCGACAGTATATAGAAAATCCACACATTCATCAGCCCCAAGAAATACATTGATCGAAGCGACTATGTGTCGTAGATTTGTCATCGAGTTGCGAAAGTCTTCATTGTATTCATCAATATTGGCATCGAGCCAAATAAGAAGAAAATTTTGTATCATACGACGAGGAGCACGTGCGCCAATGAGAATATCACTCGGGACATCTACAAAAGCTATTAGAAAAGAACCAGATGAATACATACAGCTGATGATGCTACTTTTGAAAAATCTAATAAAGTGTTCCCCTTCCATTATAATCATGAATGAGATTGTCGAAAAAGTGAAAAAAATAAATAATATTCCACGCATGGTGACATATTTTCATAGTATAGTTGTTAACTATATTCGTTCAAGAACCAATGTATTTTACGGATTTAGTTTCTACGACTAAAATCGTTAATTATCAAAGTCTAGGACCATGTGTGACTGCAGAAGTATCCATGGAATACTGCATTTTCTAATTTTCTTTTGCATGGAGTAAACGCTTCAGCTTTCTGTTCCTAGTCAAAACAAGAAAATTGACGGTCATAATTAGAGATATACTACTAGTCCAACAGCTTGAGCATTAGAAGATTTCTTTATTTTAGTGATCCTTGAGGCTTTCATATTTGGCATGAACAGGATACAGTGGAATGTTCTCAATGTGTTTACAATGTACTTCAACTTATCTTGATAATACTTCTCTTGGACTGTTGTCACAGATATAAAATCATTCTGGGTTATCAAATATAGTTCTTTATATAAACGTCAAAGGAAAGTATACAAAAATATGTTAGACTAAAATCACATATCTAATTTAGTGTAACGATATCTACTGGTAAAAAGTCTTTCTAATCAGTAAAGATCAAGAGCATTTTATTTATATGTGGAATAGCGAAGAAATCTTTCGACTAACTATATAGAAAAGAAAAAGATGTTTCGTCTGCATATATACAGCGTAGCAGACATAACATCAGTAATAAAATAGTCTGAATCACAAGAAGGGTAAGTACGACACCAATGCACCGAATAATGTCCAAAGGCATTGAAGAGGCACTGAGGTAATGAAGGTGCTATGATGCTCATACAGTTCTGAGAACTAAGGCTGAAATTGAGGTGTTCGCTAGCGATGCAACTAATCTACATTGATTCATTTTTTCGATGAAACAAGATTATTTTACAAAAATGATGATGTCGTTTTGTAAAACTTGACAAAAGACTGTTCGGCTCGATGAATGCGAATCTAAAGATGGTTTGTCGACAATTCTAGATTTTTACTTTTACAATTAGAGTCCTATTTTAAGAAAATAGATGAATTTCACAAAGCGTAGCTAGACTACGGAAAGGAGATTTCCTATGTTCGAAGAAGCTGAACTCCAGAATTTTGACAGATCACTTATAGATTTGAATTTTTTCCACCTCGAAAATATTCGGTCAAGTTTTATAGAAAAAAATCTTTATTTGCTCTAAATAGGCTTATCTTGTTCGAAAAAATCGAATTGAGACAGATTACTTTTGCCGCTAGTTATTACCTCAATTTTTGCTTTATTTTCAAAAACTGTAAGAGAACCAAGTACCTTTTCAGTACTTTTCAGCACCTTTGAACATCATTTGATTCTTGGATGTGGTATTTACGCCCTTCATTTCTATATTATTTCCCAAAACTGTATGAGCATCTCAGCATCAAACCACACTGCAAGATACTGAGATAGCACTGAGGTGCCGAAAAGGTATTGAAGTGTTGAGGGTTCCAAATACGCACT